ATTAGTATTTCGTTTCCACGTAACAAATATCTGAAAATTTCTGATAAATCGCATTTCGTTTTGTCTGAAAATTCCCGATAGTAGCAGTTCGTTTTTCTGATATTCGCATTTCGTTTTACCTGAAAATTTCTGATATTAGTATTTCGTTTTCACGTGACAAATATCTGAAAATCTCTGATAAATCGCATTTCGTTTTGTCTGAAAATTCCGATAGTAGCATTTCGTTTCTGTGATATTTGGCATACATAGCTGAAATTTCTGAAGTTAGTATTTCGTTTTCTAGGTATAATGGGATAACGATAGAAGTGGTCATATTCTCGGAAACCAAAATTATTCTTTTCTGAAAATCGAATTTCCATTCTATCTCGCAAATTTTTTTTTGAAAACCGAAATCTTGCGGAGCCTACCAACTTTCGGTAGGCATATTCAGAGGTTGCCATATTCTCAGAAACTGCATTCGTTCTTTCTGAAAATCGCATCTTTACTCTATTTCGCAAATTTTTTTTTTCAAAGATTGAGACTTTGCGGAACCTAGCCTAGATCTCGTTCATAATACTCTTCTGACATGTCTCACTCATAATAGATCGACAGATATACAAAAAAAAAAAAGAAAAAAAAAAGAAGGAAGTAGTCCTCTTTTATTTTTTTATTTTTTTATCTGTTGATTAGGGCCGAGGGCAAGTATTGTTGGGTTGTTTTCCTACCTACGTTTCCCCCCACCCACTCCTCTGCACGCATTCCAGGTTGGTACAGTGACACGTCAGACACAGTGCCGCGTCAGCAGTGCCACATCAGACAGTGCCACGTAAGCAGTGCCACGTAAGCAGTGCCACGTCAGTAGTGCCACGTCAGCCAGCAGTGCCCCGCCACCATGACGGGCGCAGCTCWGGGCATGCCAGGCCAACTGGCCAACGAGTCCATTGCCGACTACAAAAAGCGTTTTCAGATTCAGCTCGCTGCAATCGAGGCTGAGGAACAACGCCAGCTGGCAGTCAAGGCTGCCCAGCTACAGGCTGAAGAAGCGGCAACAGCAGAGAAGCTGCGKCTACAGGCCGAAGCAGACGCAGATGCCCAGGCTCGCCGCAAGGAAGCCCAGGAKCTRCTGCTGCGGCATGAAGCCAACAGCATCGACAGACTCAAGTACTGGCACTTTGAACCGAACGGCGACGAGGCAACACCGGAAGAGCAGCATAAGGAGTTCATGGCCAAGCTCGTGACCAGGTTGGCTTATACTTGTAACCACCTACAGTCCGAGCTGGCGAACCTCCAGTGGGCTGTGCGGAACCATAAGACTCAGCACGAGGATGCCACACGGGCACTGGATGCCCGTGTACTGGACCTGGAACAGGCTGTACCAGGACCAGATGCTAGGGCTTCCAGCAGTGCATCCTCTAGCCGCCAACTGGAGGCCACGTAGTGGCAATGCTAGGAGACATAAGTGCCTTCACAGAGCCGGCCACCATCAGCCAGCGGTTCGAGTTGCTGGACACTAAGATCAGTTAGCAACAGCCGACCGACCACAGCCACAACAACAGCTCGGCAAGGCCATACCAGATGCCGACGTTCCGGATCGAGAAATTTGATGACTACACACATCAAGACCCGGTCGTTTGGTGGCAAGGATTTACAACGGAGTTGGGGATCCACGAGCTCCCTGACCATCTGTATCAGTGCTCTGTTCATCAACACCAAGGGAGGATGTCAGATCTGGCTCAGCCACATGGCAACCATCCACGGCGTCCAGGTTTCAGACCTGCATAAGAAGGTCTCCTGGGAGGATATGACAAAGGAATGGAAGAAGCGGTTCATAGTGGATGACGCGCCTGCGCTCGCCATCAACTGCATCTTCGCGATGGCTCAAGGGAGCACACCGACACGTGACTGGCTCACGGATTGCCAGAAGATCGTGGCCACGCCCGATCTGGACCTGCCATTTCCGCATCTGCGTCGTGAGTTCTACAATAGGTTGTGCGCCGCTCTGAGCCTCGCACTTGGTGATCGCGAGCAGTACCACACTTTCATCGCAGGCCGAAAACGGACAGCCAGCACCACCATGGGTCAAGTTCGGCTTGACCGAGGCCGAGTACAAGTACCGCAACCGTTACGGCTGCTGTTACTGGTGCAACAGCACCAAGCACAAGACCTCCATTTGCCAAGATCAGGCCAAGGAGGATGTGCGGCCTCGTCTTAACTCGAGAAACTGAGTTGCGCAGGAGGTGAGGCGACTCCACCTCTCACTCCGCCAGATTCTGCCGCCTTGCTAGCGGCCTCCAACACATCTGGGGAGGATGAACATGTCACAGGTGCTCGGTACAATTACGAGGATTATGCTGTCCACTTGGTCCCACCGCTGGACCAACCGCTCCACGTGCAACAATCTACCGCATGCACGGTTTCATCACCATCGGCAACCGATTCGGCAGCTTCGCCGCTATCTATCGTCGGGGATTCATCGTCGTGGTCAAGACTTGAGGTGCTCGACCCACTGACGTTCACGGACTTCCAGTGGATGCCCGTTCCCCTGACCGGACGATTGCCGAAACCGCATTGCAATGTGCTCATGGCACAACTGTGAGATTACTTGCACACTGCAGTACCAGCTCCGTTGATGGACGCCGGAGTAGAGGTTGTCGACCTTCACGCTTACATTGCGAAGATCGACCGCGAGTTCAAGACGTAACGGTACGACGACATCGACGCACAATTGCTATATGTACGCATTCAGATTGGAGAGGCGACCTGCAATGCCTTGATCGATTGCGGAGCATCTCGCAACTACATCAGCCAGGACTTCATGGTGCGCGCCGGCCTTGGCCCACGTCCGGAGGAAGTCCCAGCCTACGCAAGTCACTTTGGCAGACGGTCATACGCACAAGTCCATCGACCGGTGCATTGATGCCGTCCCCGTGTACTTTGCCCCTCACGCAAGTGAGGCGGTTTCCTTTGATATCGTGGACACCAAATTTGACATGATCTTGGGCATGTCATGGTTGCGAAGCGAGGATCACCCGGTGAACTTCTTCCACCGCACCGTTCACATTCGTGATCGGAACGGAGTATTAGTTCCATGCACGGTACCTCTTCCTCGTCCTTCGATCAGCTGCCACGTGGTATCCGCCGCAAGCATGCGAGCATCCATCATCAGAGACGACATCGAGGAGATGGGGGTGTGTTTTCTCCAGGCCCTCCCGCCCCGAGACGCTTCATCGACGGACTCATCTTCGGATCCACGCATCTCCGAACTTCTCGACGCCTACAGCGACGTGTTCGAAGGCCCGCACGGAGTAGTACCGGATCGGCCCATCCGCCACGAGATCATCCTCAAGGACGGGGCCGTACCTCCGCGCGGCTGCACCTACCGAATGAGTGAGGAAGAGTTAAGTGTGCTCCGTGCACAACTCGACGATCTTCTAGAGAAAGGTTGGATTCGGCCTAGCTCATCGCCATACGGTGCTCCTGTCCTCTTCGTCCGGAAGAAGAACAAGGACCTGCGGTTGTGCATCGATTATCGCAAGCTCAACGCGCAGACGATCAGGAACGCCGACCCTCTCCCACGCATCGGCGACCTTCTCGAGCGAT